AACCCCCCCACCCCCGTTACCCCCCCCCCTTTACCTTTTCGTTTTTTTTTCTTTTTGTAATTTTTAATGATGCCATGTTTCAGATTAAATTGAAATTGCATTTTTCATTAGGATCAGGATTGATATTTGTTGTGTTTTCTGCACCACATTAAGTAAATAGGGATGGAGGGAGTTGGCTATACACTTGGAACAGACTGGTTTATTTGGTCATTGTTTAACTAATATCAAGTGTCCTTATAAACTTTACACATTTATGGAATGGAAGTTGTGTGTACTCTTCGCTTTTCACATTTTTAAGGAAATCTTAACAACTCATGGATCATAGTTTTGCAGTTGAAGAGCAGTCAATATAAATGTGAGATATGAATCAAGATCAAATTGATGTTCGTCAACATGGTGTAGCAGTTGATCAGAAGAAGCAAAAAATCAAGTGCAACTATTGTCATAAAGTTGTTTCTGGGTTTACTCGGCTTAAATACCACTTAGGAGGCGTTCGAGGAGATGTCACTCCTTGCTTGGAGGCTCCTACACTTGTCAAAGAAGCAATGAAAGCCGAGCTACATGAGAAGAAAAACGGCAATTTAATCAAGGAAGTTGAGCAGATTTACCACCCAAATCTTCCGTTGAAGCGGAACTGGTGCCCTCGAGAAGGTGATGGTGAACCAAATAAGACAGACACTCGGTGTTTTGAAAATGGAAATAAAAAGCATCATAGAGTGAATTCAAAAGTAGCTGGTAGTTCTGTTGTAGATTTATCCTCACGAGAGATTTCGAAATCTATAGGGAGATTTTTTTATGAAGAAGGAATTGACTTTGACGCTATTAGAGCACCTAGCTTCCAGAAGATGGTAAAAGCCACCCTTAGTCCTGGGAAGACAATAATATTCCCAAGTTGTCACGAGTTGAAAGGGCGGATCCTTCAGGATGCAGTGGAAGAGATGCAACAATATGTAACGAAGATAAGAAATTCATGGGCAAGTACAGGATGTAGCATCTTGCTAGATGGATGGGTAGATTCAAAGGGTCGAAATCTGATTAATATCCTAGTTTACTGCCCAAGAGGCACCATTTACCTTCGGTCGTCAGATATCTCATCTATCAATAGCAATGTTGAAGCCATGCAAGTGTTCTTCGAGGAAGTTATTGAGGAAGTTGGAGTTGAAAATGTGGTCCAAATAGTTGCATACTCGACAGCTGCTGCCTGCATGATGGAAGCAGGCAAGAAACTAGTGGAAAAACTTAAGACAGTTTTTTGGACAGTAGATGCTTCTCATTGCATGGAACTTATGTTACAGAAATTCACAGCGATAGACACGATACAACAAGTTCTGGAGAAGGCAAAATCTCTGACACAATTTATTTACGGTAATGCTACTGTCCTAAAGCTTCTGAGAGATGCTTGTCCTGATGAGCTAGTATGCCCTTCAAAGATAAGGTCGATTGTGCCCTTCATGACTCTTGAGAACATTGTATCACAGAAAGAACACTTAATTAGGATGTTTCAGTCTTCTGATTCGAATTTGGCTTCCACACGTGAGGGTAAAAGAATGTCAGAAATGGTCAAAGATGAATCCTTTTGGACTGAGGCTTTGATGGCTGTGAAGGCAACCATTCCCCTTGTGGAAATTATAAAATTGCTAAATAGTACTAATAAGCCACTAGTTGGTTTTATATATGACACAATAGATCAAGCTAAAGAGACAATCAAAAAGGAATTCAAAGAGAAGAAATCCCATTATGCAAGATTTTGGAAAGCCATAGATGACGTGTGGGATGAATACCTCCACAGTCATCTCCATGCCTCGGGTTACTTTTTGAACCCAAGCCTCTTTTATTCGAGTGACTTCTACACTGATGTGGAAGTTTCCTGTGGTCTTTGTTACTGTGTTGTTCGTATGACAGAAGATCGTCATATACAGGATAAGATCACGCTGCAAATTGATGAGTATCGCATGGGGAGGGGCACATTTCATTTTGGTAGCTTCAAAGAGAAGTTATCAAATATTTCCCCAGGTTCGTATGATTTTACATATTTTCTGCTATTTTTATCTTTCTATGTAATTCATTATGTTAACCTGGAAGTCATGGTTGCAGCAATTTGGTGGTCACAATATGGAGGTCATTGTCCCGAACTACAAAGGCTTGCTGTTCGAATCCTTAGTCAGACATGCAATGGTGCTTCACATTATAGGCTAAAAAGGAGCTTGGTCGAGAAACTATTTACACAAGGGAGGAATCCGATAGAGCAGCAGAGGATGCGTGATTTGGTATTTGTCCATTGTAATTTGCAATTACAAGCTTTTGATCCAGAAGGAAGTAATGACATTACAGACGATGTTCTTGATCCCATGGATGAGTGGATAGTTGGGGAAGGGCCTAATTTGATGTCTGAAAACACTGAACTGACATGGAAAAATTTAGACTTGGGAAGAAAAGGGAATGGAAATTTTTGTGTGGAAGAACCTATTATTCATGTAAAGGAGGAAGAGGCAGATAAATGTATATAGAGTAGTAAACGTAAAGTGAAGTGACAATGAATCTTTCTTATGCTGAATTATGTTTACCTTTATTAATACAATGATATTTTGTTCTAGCTCTATGCTTCCATACAGTGGCGAAGCTAGGAATCTCTCCAAGGGTGTTCAAATTTGAAAGAAATGAAAAAAATTCCGGAAAAAGGGTGTTCAATATGTGTATATACCTCTAAAACGTAATATTTTACCTATATACACAGATAATTCTTCGACGAAGGATGGTCAATTGACAACCCTTCTGACCATGTGGCTTCGCCCCTGCTTCCATATACTATATTGTTTTGACTTCTAGCGACGGCATGATCTTCCACGTTTGGAGAGAGGCAAACCGTCTAGACTTGCTAGCTACTTCTATAAGACAGGAGATTTATCCAAGTCTTCTTCCTAATAAGGATTTTTTAACCTACTATGTGAAGACCTCGTAGGCGATGAAAGAACATGAAACCATCCTGTTTCAATAGAGGTACGAGAAACAACTGGGGGCAATGAAGTAGATAAAGTGGCTAAATTTTGCGAGATATTCCAATCACTGCTGGATGTGATTCCAAGGGTTGACGAATTAATACCACACAGAAGAGTCAACACCAGGCTCCAATATGAAATATTTAACTGATCCATTCCGGATCGACCGAATTGGTACGGAACGAGTAGGCAGGGTACGACGAAGCCCGCAGGTTGTGCAGATTTTCTTGCAAATGAAGATCACAAACATGAAGAAGATTTGCTATTCAAGGATATGGTCCGGGCTTTCGAAGTCCCCGCACTATAGAGTGAAAGGAAAAAGGTAAAGATTACCATTAAAGCAACCCAAGAATTACTATATCGATATGAATTATGCTCGTAATATTCGAGTTAAGTGCACATCAAGAATTCTAACTCTTCTACAAACAAAAGCATTCGATTTAAGTAGAGAAGGATGTATGTTAAGCTCATTATCCACCGAGTTTTGAACGCTTTGTATTTAAGTAGAGAAAGGTATCGACATGAGTGCATTATCCACCAAGTTTCAAACTGTGCGCCAACTAGCCTCGAGCATTCTCGATTATCAAAAACAAAGTATAGTAAATTACCTTTTTCTTTCCAAGAAATAGAGTAATACGTTTCTTACTCAACAATTTATCAGAGAACTTCCTCATTTCATTGTATCATAATATTTCATATCCTTGCATTTAGGGGGGAAAGTTGACAAGTAATCATAAGCATTTGTATTTCAGACGCAAGTATAAACACAGAGCTCAAGGAATCAACCAGATTGGACAAATCATTCCCGCTGCAGAAAGATAACTTCTTGTGAACTGCAAAATGAATGGTAAAATTCAACCTTATATTATTGAAGACAACAACGTTTACTTAGTTGCCAAGGTTTAATGTCAGTAATACTGTAACGAATACCATTCCTATTTCAGGATTGCAGTATACCATCAAACTGCAACAGTTTTCTTCAAATTCTGAAGTTGAATGTTCATTTTTTTCAAGTATCATATAGTAAGCTTTAAAGTAACTCAAAATCTCTCTGATGTATTCACGACAAATATTCCGCTAAATGCAATACTTAATGCTCAAGCAACAGCGTAGACCCTTCCGCGAGTATTTATGCCTTGACTCGCTTGTATTGCTTTATCTCATTAATTATGCCATCAGTAAGCATGTCGACGTCGTTATTCTTTCCGAAAAACTTCACAAATTCCATCTTAGGATCCATAAGATACCTGCACATTGTAATATCATTCTCATCAAAATTCATGTGTTAAAGTAACATAACCTTTTCAATGGAAGAATAATCCAAAACATTTTAGAGAGATAACATTAAGCATTCAAGATTTAGGAGAGATGGCTAATCTTAAAGCATGCTCAATCTGTATGACCTAAGCAGATAAGGAGAAGAAAAAATATTTGCCACTAAACAGAAATGCAAATTACCATCAAAAGAGTTTAAGGTACGTCTCTTAGTAGTTTGGAGTACTTGATGACTAGACCGAGTATTTTGTATTTTTTATTAAACCAATTTCATCATTTAAGAACTGGTTTTTGGTTAATATGTGAAATATAGGTAGTTTTCGTGAATTAATGACCAAAAATGATTCCAAGCAACTTATAATTTGTTAGTCAATTAGAACTACTAATTCATTAGTCAATCATGTTCTAGTCATTTATCCAAAGGGCAAGATCGGTTTAGTTAATAAAACACCACACACATTATGATAAATGATAAAATTTGGGCGTAAATCGCTCTCTAACAAAGGCGATTCCATACCCAAGGCTTGAACCTGAGACCATTGGTTAAGGATGAAGCAGTACTTATCACTCCACCATAAGATCTTTCATCAGTAAATATCCAACTCCATGAGACTTTGTTCATGCACAAGTGCACTCTTGACGTGATCAAATGGCTATTAGGTAGCTAAAACCACTATTTAAGTAATGTTTTTCAGATTGATGATACATGACGGAAAAAAAATCAACGTGTGCTTCTATTGATAAAGGTTGTAGATATTGAAACTGAGAGGCAATTAAAACAGACAGGTGGCAATCACAGCTAGGATCAAGTAACACATACATGACTATTGAGTGATCAACAAGGTAATCTGAGCCTTCTTCTTCTGTCTTCATATAGTAAACCCGATAAGCACGCGCCGTTTTCTTTATCTCTTCTGGGGTACCAGTGAGGCCAATCAAGTTTGGGTGAAACTCTAAACATTGAGTACAAAATTGTCAGTTGCAGCATTACACGTATATTTACAAGTATGTCTAACAATGCACGAGATATAATCAGTTCAACCAGGAACGTACCTTTAACATATTCACGTACTTGCTCAACCGTATCTCTTTCAGGATCAACTGAGATAAACACAGGTATTACTTGAATTCCTGACTTCTCCTCTGCATATTGAGTATATTTACGAATTAGGAGATTAACATATCTCTATATGCTTAAAATTAAAAGGAAAAAGACATCATGACAGCTAAACACTACTCCCCCCGTCCCAATTTATGTGATGCACTTTCCTTTTTAATTTGTGCCTTTCTATATTTTTTTTTTGATTTGCACCGGGTGTCCGAGTCTCTAAGAGCCCCGACTAATCCCGGGGGTGCACAAGCCCTCGGCAAGGAGTTTCCCGCAAGTGCACCACGGTTAATTCAGGTTTTACCCCGTCCGATGGCCCTCAGAAATTGTTTGCACCCAGTGGGTTTCGAACTTGAGACCTTGAAAGGGAGCAAACCCCAAGGCTCAAGTCTATTGCCACCAGGCCAACCCCTGAGGGTTTTGTGCCTTTCTATATTTAGAAACAATTTAACTTTAAACTTCCTATTTTACCCTTAATGAGATGATTTATAGCCACAAAAATTACTGACTTGTTTTAGACCACAAGCTTCAAAAGTCTTTCTTTACAATCAAAGTGTATCACATAAGAGAGTATAAATTAATGGGCTTTTCACTCACAACAAAAAAATTGGAACTATACAGCCACTAGTTGCCTTTTTGATTTGTTAAAATAGTCAGTAGCTGCGGCATTGTAGTCTGCTACGACATTAGCTTACATTTTCTCCCGTAGGTAGCAGAATGAACATCTCCTTTAGGAGATAAAACCACGTTGAACATTTTCATGCACAACATGAAATTACAATTGAAGCAAGGAAAAAGTTTAATTGTTTGAGTTCATTCAATTCATGCTCATAGTTCACACGGTACTTATTATGCACGATCAGCTTTTCTTCACTGAATCAACATTTGGCAATCAGAAGGTCTTTATAGTTCTGTTATTATTACCTCCCTTTGACCAAACAAATTGGGAATCAAGACTGGATTAAAACTTGGAAAATCAGACATTAACTTGAAAGGCGAGAGGAAGAACAAATATAAGACAGTAAGAAAAAAATGTGGTTGACGAAATGACCAATCACAATAATCAGGTGAAACTTCATCGACTTTGGGCACAGAACTATAATGAAAAGGCTTACTAATTTTATCAACTGCAGCAGCGAGTTTTTGTAGCTCATCTGGGCATATATCTGGACAGTGAGTGAAACCAAAATATACAACTGTCCACTTGCCAAAGAAGTCTTTCTCAGTTACTGGTTTTCCGTTATGGTCAATGAGATTAAATGGACCACCAATGGCTGCTTTTCCCGCAGAAGGTCCTTGCTTTACAGAAGTTGAGGCAGTGGTGATATCTGTAACAAGTAACAAGCTTAATAAGCAAACTAGAACGGTAGGAAATTAGAGAGCAAGAACACATATTGAAGCCTAAGATCTTACTATCTGCAAAATTTAGTAAGGCAAACTTAAAGCTCCTTGAACAAAAGGAACAAAAGGGAAGGGTAAAATATTGGTCTTTAAGTTTATTTGGATAATCATAAAAAGAATCTTATCAATACAGAGGAAGAAAAATATTACTAGTAAATACAAATTTATGTTGTTGGAAGTAAGATGAAGTACCTCATGTGATCTTTTCCACCTAAAACCCCAAAATTTCATAAAATCAGTATCTAAACCTCAGTGGTTTGTTCCATTAATCGGAGACACTTTTGTGTGTAAGTAACCGTAAGAAGAAAACTATGGTGATAGTTTCAATAAATTTAAAACGGAAGGCCATTTAACAGTATTTTAGTGATACCATCACAGTACCACCCTATTGAAAATGCACGCACTTACCCTACCAAACGAAGAGAAAGGAAAAACCACACCACCATATTTCTATGCAAAACCTAACTTCCTGAATAACACTTTCTAGCATGTGTTTTTTTCCCTTCTAAAAAGGGCACAAGAATTCAGTAGTGAACCAACAAACAAGCATAATCAGAGGTTTAGCAGTAGAAACACTCATATAAATGATATGGGTAGATTCCAAAGAAACATGCAGAAAAGGAACATGCTGAAGTTGATTTTTGATATCCATTCTGCAATTACGGACTCTGCATTCTAACGTATCTGCCTGCGCGCACACACACACAACCATTGTAGCACTATACTCAGAGTCAGGCAGTGCTACAACCTGAAAACCTAAATGCATACATATTGACAGGTAACTAGCAGCCTAATCAGACACGTAGTGTTATAAATATTAATCCTCCTCCATGGTGCCTTCAAACCCGAAGTCTAATCAACAAAAAAAACAAGGGTTTATGTGATTAGCAAACCACAGTTTCTTTTCCTAAAACTAATACAACTCACCATAGTAATCTACCTTCAATATGCCGTTTCTTTTCCCTGTCATAATAGTAAACCAATCCTGCTCCAGTGCAAATAAGCAGAAAGAAGCTCATCCATGAAACAGGCTGCATATGTCAATTAATTACTTATCAATTGCAGGCTCTACGAAACAACGAAAATGAAAAAAATTTACACCCTACTATAAACAGATGATGTTGTGTTAGCATTCATAGTATTTTCCGTCAAGAATGCAGCTACTCCAAAGCAGAACAGAAAAATTGGGACTCAATCACACAAATTAAGCAAACAGCTTATACCAGAGCTACAAGCTCAATACCCACTTAATTCCAGCAAATAAAAGCAGCTCCATATGATCAAATCTACCTTTTACTAGAACATACACATAAATGTAGCCGTACTATAAACAGTTGAAGTTGCATAAGCAGTCGTACTATATTTTTTCATAAAAAATGCAGCTATTCAAAAGCAGAACAGAAAATTCGAAACTATTGATCCTACAAATTAAGCAAAAAACTCTGCAGCTTATACCTGAGCTACAGCTCAATATAAATACAGGAAAAAAATAGCAGCTCCATATGATTAAATATACTTTTTACTAAAAGATACACATAAATGTACTCCCGATGCACGTATTAGGCAGCAGGTTTTCACAACACACTATCTTCGACCAGCTATACATACATAAATTACATGCATATACTGACAACTTCTATTCAAAAAATCATTTTGATACTAATTTCGAATATTTTATATCAATACTAAATTTGCACCCACTGTCAGCGTAGGAGTAGTGGCAGAGGGTCAACATTTAAGGTTCTTAGCATTGAACCTTTATATTTTTAAAGTTACGGGTTCAGACCTACTATTTATAACAGTTTTAGTGAATTATATATTTCGCGTTTTGAAAATATTGAGTTCGGTTGAACCAGGTACTATAAGGCTGCATCCGCCTCTGAGTAGTGGATGCAGTCACATTCCACACCACTGACTTAAAATCCTGAATCTGCCTCTACAAATGCAGTATATCAACCAGTGAATAAAAAAAGAAAGAAACTTACACTGCCCCGAATAGGCTTTCCCTGTTCAGAAGTCTTCTGAGAACCACCAGAACTTTCACTCTTCCCAGAATTAGCTCCAGAGGAGGATCCACTGGACCCAGAACTTGATTGATTCACAGAATTGGAGGTGCAAAGAAACCTGTAATAATTCAGTCCACTCTCCAATCGACCCGAACGCATAGCCTGTAATCCAAGAATCCCCAACCCCACCAAAAAAAGATAAAAATTTTCAGCCCCATTCATCAGAAACTAGAAAAAACTAAAACTTAAAAGTATAAAAACGAAGACAAACCAAAGATACCTAAATTTTAAACAAAAAAAGATCGCTATGAGATTAGAAAAAAGTTGAAAACTTTGAGTATAAAATGAAGACTTACCAATGGAGAAAGGGGTAGGGGTTTGGTGTGGGGGAGAGTTTTTGAAAGGCTGTGAAATGAAGGTTTTGTTGAACAAATGGAGTGATACAGAAAATAGCGAATTTGTTGATTTCTTGATATTGCTTTCGCCATTGCTATGTTAATTGTTGTGAGAAATCACAGAGTGAGAGATTGTTGAATCTTGGAAAGAGGTCAAAAACCCTACCAAAACCACAGAACAGATTTTCTTTTTCTCTTTATTTTCCTACTTTATTTTATTTACATATATTTTATTTCTTCTTATTTGTCCCTTTAAAAAAAAACATTTTTTTTACATCTTTTTGTTGTTGCAAACGAGTGTATGTTCATGCCCAACTTTTATATGGGTGGTTCTTGAATCTAATTTTGTGTGTATACATATCATTAATGCGTTTAAATTTATTGTGAAAGGTAATTTATTTTATTTTCTATGTTATTAGTATCACTTTTTATGAACATTTTATATTTTATCTTTTAGGTGGCTCGACATCTATAAATATATTTGCAGAGTATAAAAGTTAAAACTTTATAATAAATAATTAAAAGCTATTTTTGTTTGACTCAAAAGTTGTTTAACACTTTTTAAGCAAATCAATCAATATAGATGAAGGGGTAAATCATAATCGAAGATAATAAACCCTAGGATGATCTTGGCAATTGGTTCAGATAACAATAATATAAATCGGAGAGAGGGAGAAGGCGATAATCTTCAAGAGATAAGAGAGAGAGAATGTTAGAGAGATAAGAGAGCCAGAGAGTCTGTATTTCCAATAATGAATCCCCCCCATTTACAAGGCTCGGGCCCCCCTTTATATAATAGAGGATCCTTACTTAAATATTAAAAGACAGAAATAAAGTACATGCTATAGAGGGGCCGACGTGATCATGAAGTCGTCCCTCTTATTATTCCTAAGTCGTCCTCCTAGCCGGACTCACATATATTCGGTCGGTCGTGCTGGCTTAGGGACGTGGTCGGTCAAATTCGACCCCATACAGTTAGTCCCTCTGCTCATCGGGGTCGCAGCGAGATGCGTCCTCGATGGGCGGAATCGGTACCTCCGTTCTGGGAGAGTTTGACTTTGTCAAAGAATTGTGGCGTGACAGGCAAGAGACAGTAATCATGACTGTCAGAGCGTCGAAGCGAAACGCCTTTCCCCGTGTGATGTCAGCGTTCGTATGTGTCATCATTGCGCGTAATCTCGAGGCAGGAAATCAGAAGCTTTTGGTGCTTGGTTTCCCGCGCTGATTCGACGTCTGCCTCTTCGATTCTGGCGCCACCCAACCCTATAAATAGGAGAAGGGTTTAACCTGATTCAAACTTTGGTCATTTGTAAGAACATTCCAACCCTTCAGTGTATATTTTCACATTCTGGTGCATTTTCCTTCGATCGAAAATTTCCTTTTTCTTTGTTGGGTTGTGCACAACTTTTTCTTCACCGAGATCATGCCTAAACCTCGCCGAAGCGACGAGAGGGTCCCGGCGGCTGCCCCATTGAACGTGCCGCCACCTTCTGATGGTGGAGAGGTAGAGGAGGAAGAGGACATCAGTCCTCTTACTGTGGAAGCATTATTGCCAAAGCATACCTTATCTCGAAGTGATTTCAGTAAGGACTCTCCCATTCTGGCTCCAGAGTTTTCCGAGTCGTTACAGAATCACTTGGATGACCTCCGCGTGAAATACGGCATACCTGCCCACGTAGAGATGGTTTCGGCGGTGAGGGATCACGCGGATGTTCATAGGCCAGGGTATTGTACCTTTTATGAATACCCCTTTTCGATTGGTTACAACCTCCCTCTTTTCCCTTTGGCGGAGGAGTTCTGGCGGTTCTATAATGTGTGTCCGGCTCAACTTACACCGTATACTCTGAAGGTGCTTTGGCTGCTGACCAAGTACGCGGAGTTGGCCGGATATGAAGTCATGATCCATCACCTCCTACAACTGTTCAGTGCTTGCTATCTAAGAGGGACCATGGTGCATTTGAGAGACCGTAGTACGAAAGGATTGGTGGTCAAAACCGACGACCGAGCGAGTCGTGGGTTCTGGCGCAAATATTTTTTCATTAGGACTGAGCACGTGGTCTCTAATCCTGCCGGATTGCCAGAGAGGTGGAACTCGAAACGTAAGTATTTGCAGTTTGTCAAATTCCGTGTTACCCGTGACTGTAGCAATTTTAACCTTTGTATTGCAGCTATGGCTCATCCGCCCCGGCCTGTTGCCAACCTTAGGAAATGGGTTGCTGGCTTGCTTCCCTACGCGGAAGAGACCCGCACTTGGCCTGCCTTCATGCAGCGTTATGGCCCCAAAGTCTCTTCAGGTAGATTTCCGATTTTTGCTTTGTAAATTCTGCAACCTTGCTCACTTATTTTTATGGCGACAGGTCGAGGCGCTTCTAGGAAGAGGGCGCCAGTCCCGGCTCTCAAGCGATCCGACGTTGCCTCGGACGCTCATGATATACTGATCGAGTCTGTCCGAGAGGATCTCCCTCCAGCTCCTTTACAGGGGGCTACATCTACGACCATGGTTATGTGGGAGTCGGCACCGCTGGCGCCGGCTCTGCAACCCGTGGATGAACGCTCCCATGGCGAGGAATTGTTAGAAAGAAAATGGAGGAGGCTCGAGAAGGGCAAGGGGGTGGCCACCGAAGCCGAAGGAAGTGAGGTGCCTGTCGACGCCCCCTTTTTCCTCGCGGTATCGGGTTCACGGCATTCGGGAGGACAACTCTATTCCTTTGCGAGAATTGGGTTTTTGGAGTTTGAAGAGTCGCCACCTAATGATTATAGTGCATTAGGACACTTTAAGGAAGAATTTGAGATGAAGAACCAGAGTTTGGGTAAGGGCTAGAAATTATCTCGAGGGGAAGGTGTTAGGCACCCCTCAAGATCCACTAGTGTGGTTCTCGGCCATGCTATAATTGTGACTTTGAATGCAAACAAACAAGTAAACAAGCAAGCATTGCAAATACGAGAAAATTATTACAAATAAGGAGCACAACAGGTTAAAAAAAGTGCTGAATTTTAGGGAAGGAGCAGTCTAGTTAAAAGTGCAAGTAGGAAGAAGTCAAGTACTTAGTGCGAACAATCTGAAAATTATGTGAAAAACAGAAGTCAAAAGTGCAACAGCTTTTTAAGATTCAGAAAATTGTTAAACTAATAAAGAGGGAGGGGGTTCCTAGGTTTATATATTACATGGATCATTCGCACAACACTGATACTCAATTGTACGCATAGTGTTATCGTGTAATCATCATCTCCATGTCTACCCTTTCCCACCCCGTTAAGGTATTGGAGCGCGAAATGGTATCGTTTGCCTATTATATGCTATTACCCGTCCCAAGCTATCAGTCCCGGGGCATTAGGACTTCTAATCCTAAAAGGGGAAGAAAGGGATGGGGGCCTTTATGGAGTTTAAAGGACAAAAATTCTAATCGACATTCAAAAACAAGTAACAAGTAGGGGGAATGAACAGACAAACAGGTAAGGCTCACATAAACCCCGTAAATCAGATAACATCTAGTTTAGCATGCCTTTACACATACTGGTTTGGTCTTTAAAATTAAAAATTAAGCAGCGAGCGGACTGGTTCGATACATACGTTTAGACAGGAAACCCACATTAGGCAACTTGGATCTAATTGTCAGAACTTAAGGTATTTTAAGCGGGTGATTTAGAAAGTACTGGTTCTAGAAAAGTAGTCTAATGCCGGAAAGTACAGACTGCAGTCAGTTTAGAAATAAGTTTTAAGAGAATCAAGAGTATAAACCATAAAAGGAGTTCCAGAGTCAGAAATACTTAAGGAAAGAGTAAACTGCAGAACTGTTTTAAAGACAATTTCAGGAAGACCAAAACTTAGTTGAAAATGTTTAGGCAGAATTTTAGAAAGAAACCATTTCAGAAGAGGTGCTGATTTGAAGAACTCAAATGTATACTGATTCAAAAGAGTTTTGTCAAAAGATTGAGGCTGAAAACATTAAGACATTAGAGACCAGTTAACAGATTGTTATTGCTTAAGAAGAATTGGACGAACTTGATGCGGAATCCTATGATATCTATATCTGATTAAAAAGTCTGTTAAGAACTGGTAAGAAGAGGTAGTTATTTAATTACCCTACAGTTTGCCTAATGCATACGCATTCCCTATAGGCATGATTTCTATATGCACTGATTACATGAACGTTAAGGTCTTATAGGCAGGATTTCTAGATGACTTATATCATAATTAAACGTTAAACCCTATAGGCATGGTATCTAGGTGACTTGAATCAGAAACATCGAACCATCTTATGTGCAGTATTTCTAGTGAAAAAATTAAAGTCCTAAAGTCATGATATCTTACCCTTTATTGATGCAAGAAAGTATAACCCCTCCCACACCCTTTTACTAGATTCCCCGAGTTCTATACAAGTTATTACAACCCAATGAATCAACTGAAATAATAAAAATACATCAAAAACTAACAGCTAGATCCAAGCAGCCTAATTCAAATCTTAATGTCCAATAATATGTATTTAACCAACTCCGGGGTCCAGATCTCCAAAGCCTTCTCATTATCCAGGGTGTTTCAAAGTTTCAAGGAACCTCAGGGATTCCAGGCATTAATTACACCCAGGATGCCATTATGAACAGGATGGTGCAGTGTGGAATAGCCAGCTCTCAGGCATCCAAGTTCAGAGGGAGCTCAGGGGTCCCAAAGCATGGCTTGCAAGAGAGGGGCAGAACTTATAGCTAGGATTAAGTGCAAAGTGAAAGGGAATTAAGGGGCCATGACAAGTGGTGGTCATACCTAGCCATAAGGCAGGCTGGCACACCCCTGACCACTTGCTAGATGGACAAGTTAGGAGCAGACCTTTTGATGGTCAGACAAAGGTCTGGATAGTGATTAGGACACTATCAGACCTAAGTCAAGGCTCAAGCACATAATGGGGAGAATGGGAAGTGGGAATTGATTGAGTTAAGGAGTTCAATGAACCCAGTTCAGGATCATAAACAACAATATTGGGGTGCTGCTATGCCCTGAACAATAAACTCACATACAAAGGGGTAAAGGGTAAAGGGGATTCACAGAGTATCAAATTCATGACAAACAATTGATTACACACATAACTTAAATACAGAAATATAAAGGAGAGGGAAACAAATATCAACTAAAGGAAATAGGCAGAATTAAACACATTGTTGTTGAGGCATGTAAACTAACTGAGACATACCAGTAGAGAAG